TAGTTCTATATATTATGAATGGTAGCAGTAGTGATATATTTATTATGAATGGTAGTAGTAGTAATAGTTCTATAATGAATGCTTGTAAAAGTGGTGGTTTTATTATGAATGAGATTGTAAAAGTGATAGTTTTGTAATGAAGGAGACTTTTATACTGATAGCTTTATGATGAATGGGTGGTAGTTTATGAATGGTAGTAGCAGTGATAGTTTTATTATGAATGGTTGTAAACGTGGTGGTTTTATTATGAATGAAACTGTAATAGTGGTAGTTTTATAATGAATGGCTATAATAGTGATAGTTATGAATAAGGTTGTAATAGTGGTAGTTTTATACTGAATGAAAGTGTTTTATTGATAGCTTATTATGAATGAGATTGTAATAGTGATGCTTTTATTATGAATGGGATTGTAATAGTGATAGTTTTATACTGAATGAGAATGTAAGAGTGATAGCCTTATAATGAATGATTGTAAGTCATGGTTTCATTATGAATGGTAGTAAAAGTGATAGTGTGATGACAAATTAATAGGGATGTCATAGATATTGTTATACCAATTCAAAGTTTGCTAATGAATAAAAATCAAGTAACAAGAATGAATAAAATTGATACTGAATCATATTGATAATAATATTTTAATCGTGTCATAGAATAAATGCAATATGGATAACGAAGCATAATATACCGTTAATAACTATAACGAAAGTGCGATCTAGACGCTTTAACACCCAACATATCAATGTAAACACATTTTGTACACATGAACACATTTTACCGGTTATAAAGTACAATGTGTGATGCCTGGTAAGGATACAGCCAATACAAGGTACAAGGAACCAAAGAAAGAATATTACAGATGATATTCTTTTGTATAACCATAGCTAAGGACGATTAGATATATAGACTATACTCTTCGGTAAAGTTACAATACACCGAGATTAACAGTAATAATGATACTATTTTCCGATGCATAACACAAAACAAATAACAAAACAAAAGACAATATTTTTCGATGCACAAAAAAAAGATAACTAAAAAGACAATTTTCTTCGATGCACAAGACAAAGATAACAAAAACAAAACTAAAATGACAATTTTCATTAAAAAAAAAAAAAAACATTCTTCGATGCACAACACAAAACAAATAACAAATGTTCTTCGATCTAGCCAACATAAGACAAATAATGACATACATAGGATAACCGATATCCTCCTTTTCATCGTCATTCTTTGTTTTTTGTATTTTTTATGAAAAAAGTGTCTCTTGTATACTCACGTAGATCCAAGACAATAAGATGACAACACACAACAGACAGTCAAGAAGAAACTTAATAAATCATAAATAACAGACCCAAACAAAAGTGGACACAGAAATACACAGCCACAGACAAATAAAAAATCAAAAAGGAACACAGACAGTCACAGCAAACAAAAACATAAAAGGGACATAAAACAAACGCAACTACGACCACAGACGCCAAATACAAATCAAGAAGGAACACAAACAAACACAAAACGACCGCAAAAACTAGACACAAACCAAAATGGAACGCAAAACAAACACAACAGAAGCCAAGAAGGAACACACAAACACAACAGAAGCCAAAAAGCAACACGCACAGACACAAACAAACACAGCAAAATCCAAGAAGGAACACACACAAACGCAACAGAAGCCAAAAAGTAACACACACACAAACAGACACAACAGAAGCCAAAAACTAACACAAACAAACAAACAAACCACAACAGAAGCCAAAAACTACACACACACACACAACAAACACATCAGACCCCCAACCCACCAAACACCAAGAAACAAAAACAAACACAACAACCCAAAACACACCCACAAACACCGCTCACAAACCACAAACAAAAAAAGTCCCACCACCCTATACCAAACACAGCGGACTCTTACCTTTGGTGGACTTGCTAAAAGACTGTGTCAGAGCCCGTGAGAAGTGTTCATCGACCGCTGTAGCGAGGTCTCCGCTGAAGTAGGTGAGGACGACACAGTTCGCTGAGATGTAGTGGGCGTCGGCATGCTGTTCGCCCTGTGGGTGAGAGGGGGAGGGAAGGGGGGTTAAGATGGGTATGTGGGTATGTGGGTATGGGTTGAAGTAGGGGTTTTGTTAATAAGTGGCGTTCGTTTAATAGTTTTTTTTTATTATCATTTGTTTATTTATCTATTTATTTATATTTCATTACTATTTTCATTTTTATCTTCATTTCCATTTATTTATTTTATTTATTTATTTATTTTTGAATGTGGAAAGCTTGACAGTTTAGGAAAGAAAAAATAAAGTTTATTGAAAGATGAATTGCTTGTTCCTGCCATTTTTTTTTTTTTTTATGTATGGTACCCGGTTTTTATGTACTACCATTATCAGTTTATCAAAATTCTATTTTTAAGTCCCTGTTCTTTAATTGGTACGTTATGAATTTCGTTTTCACACCATGTAATATTTGATAATATTTATTCATACTGATAGTGAT